TGTCAGCAAACTGTCCCTGCTCCCCACTTTTCCAGAGCCATTACGCCATTAAAATATATATATATCCTCAGATTTTCTTTGCTGCGTACACCCAGCAGGAGAAATTGAGAGAGATTGAGAGAGAGAGAGAGAGAGAGAGATGGGTTGTTTTTTTACGAGAGAGAGAGAGAGAGAGATGGTTTTTTGTTTTTTTTTTATAATCAGTGATGCTGGAAGAAATATCATTTGATGCTTATATGTGTAAATGCCAATTCGTAAAGTTCACAATTCGCATTATTTTTAGTATAATTATTATTGCATGGAGTCGTAATGCTGGAATTTGGGTGTCTGCTCGTAGCACGGTGCTTAGAAAACCGTCAAGCACAGGGCTGGGCAGAGGTTCCCCGATCTGATTTGTAACACATTTTGGGGGTCTTGAGCATGACCCCATTTGATGTGCAAATGCTCCTGCTCAATTCGCAACCTGGATCCAAACTTATTTGCAAATATGTGATGTCAATACCTTGACTTGTTTGCACTGGGAAAACAGAGTGGTTGTAACTTTATTTTGTGCTGAGGCACATGAAACGTGGCGATGCAGTGGGCCCCAAAGTGGGGAGGAAACCTGCCCCTTTTCAGATAGGTGGGTTCAGAAGCTTGTGTACCAGGCATATTTAAATATGCCTCTGTCTTTTTTTAATACCGCTAAAATGAATTTTAACCCTCCCAATGTGATGTGTGGTCCAGAAACAAATTGATTTGTAAATTAGCTTTGCTTCATTCCAGAACCAGTTTTGGGCATCCTGGTTCAGTTTTTGGTCCAGAATTTGTGATTGGTCTGAATCTGGTTTGTAGGCAGAGTAAAACGTAAGTTCTCCTCAATTTGCATCCTGGGATAGAGAAAGCTAATGCTCTCCCTAATGCATGGCTCCTCAGGCTGTAGTGGATTCAACAGTCACAAGATCATATTTTTTTAAAAAAAAAATTAGCAGGGATGGAGATATCATCCATCTTCCAGCATTGTTGACAAGGGATGGGATGTTCAGATTTTCTAGACAATAAACACCATACAGTAATTCTCCATTCTGAGAGTCTGCCCTGCCTTGCAGGCATCGTACAAACAACTGAAGAGAAGAAAGACTTAAATAAGAAGGCATTCAGGCTTAGCTAAGCCTAGCTTCACCAAAAGAGCCTCGTGGCGCAGTGGTTAAAATGCTGTACTGCAAGCTAAAACTGTGCTCATGACCTGGGGTTCAAATCCCAGGTAGCCAGCTCAAGGTTGACTCAGCCTTCCATCCTTCCAAGGTTGGTAAAATGAGTACCCAGCTTGCTGGGGGGGCAATGT